CTCAACAGATGCTTAATCAAAAACCCAAAATTCCCAATTAGTAGTTGTCTGCCAAATTTTGCCAAAGGTTCACCTAATGTCCAAATGGAATCCAACCAATTCTCCAGCTGATACATGAACATAAATTTAAACTATGTTCGGATTATCTTCAATCCTAAATTACATGGTTCGGCTCTTATATTGCACCGATATTGTCTTTGAACTTAATATATTTAATGTTTGATGTCCTCTGATATTAGAGAGGCCCTCCTATGCAGCACTAAGGTCTCTTCAATGACAACATAAACAGTAAGACACTACTGAGTCCGATTGCTAAATGCTAATTAGTAAATCGGACCCCTCCATTATCTATATCTAAGAAGGAAATGGTATGAGTCGTTAGTGTCACATGACCTGTAGAAAAAAGATACCACACCTGTACACGATTTTGGCCGGTCCAAAAAAGTAGCTCAATCTTTTTCGTTATATCTCTAAGATTGTAAAGTTGAAATTATTATTGAGGTGCTTTTGTTTTATTGATCATCCCAGATGTGACATTATGACCGATCGAGTGTCAAGAAGATTGGAACACTAGCAAAGGCAAAAGGATTCAAATCAAGCACGTAATATACTAATATACCAAATTGTGAAAACGAGTAGTTTATACCAGTCCACTAACATAATTCAACTGTCAAATCCTCAAAGAAACGTTAAAAGTACAATTATTTTTGAATTCTCGTCGACTTAAAAATATCCGAGTTTACTTAATACGTATAGTTTATGAGTGATTATATGAAAACATACGAAGTGTGGACCATTTGATATTCCATACGACAAAATGTAGCCTTAGCATGTGGATAAGTCCCATACAAAAATATACTGCTCTTTAGGTGTGTCATATAGCTTAGGTGCTTTTGTTTTGAATTTCTCAACTCTCAATTTCGCAATGATGGAGTGGAAGGAAGGACAGAAGGAGTGTCACTTTCCATTTTTTGGGTTGCAAGCATAGAAACCACAAAACATACGTACGCATGCTGAAAGTGTTCACATGCTTCAAAAATGTGCTGCTACTCCTAACCACTAGAAATTGTGGAGACGATGACAAAGCCAGTTAAACACAGTCCTTACAGTGCTAAATATAACCCCAATCATACATGCACTGTCATGCTACTACTTATCTGCTGCAAATCCTAAGGGCGAAAAAACACACACACTCTCTCTCTCTCTCTCTCTCTCTCTCTGCTGAAAGATGGTAGCTACACACTAACTCAAACAACTCAAATATCATACCAGAAACTTGAAATTTCAATGAGGTCCCTCCTTTGGATTTTTTTTAAACAAATTTTTTTCCCTACTTTTCAACAGGTTTTGATATCAAGGGATGGTGTGAAAGAAGGTGCAAGTGATGGAGCTGTGGTGGATTTTAGAGGGAATCCTGTGGACAAGTCAAAAACTGGTGGATGGCTTGCTGCAGGGCTTATTTTGGGTGCTTTATTCTAACTTCCACTCAAACTTTCTCTTTTTAATCCCATGTTTAATGTTGACTAAATGATCACCATGCTGCAGGAATTGAACTGGCTGAGAGGATCTGTGTGATGGGCATATCTATGAATCTAGTAACTTACTTGGTTGGAAATTTGCATATACCTTCTGCAAAATCTGCAACCATAGTGACCAATTTCATGGGCACTTTGAACCTCCTTGGCCTCCTTGGTGGGTTTCTAGCAGATGCTAAACTGGGAAGGTACTTGACTGTCGCCCTTTCTGCAACAATAACTGGTCTGGTAAGTTTTCAGTCAATTTGGTTCACCAGTCCAATTCTGTAGTATTTTGAAAAGAAAAGAAAAACTGATTTTTCTTGCTTTAGGGGATAATTTTGTTGACATTGGCAACATCCATTCCTAGCATGAGACCACCTCCATGTGATGACTACAGAAGGCAACATCATGAATGTATTGAGGCCAATGGAAAGCAATTAGCGCTGCTCTATGCTGCTTTATATACTACAGCACTAGGTGGTGGTGGTATAAAATCCAATGTCTCAGGCTTTGGGTCTGATCAATTTGATGGCAGAGACCCCAGGGAAGAGAAGTCCATGATCTTCTTCTTCAACAGGTTCTACTTTGGCATTAGCATTGGCTCTCTGTTTGCTGTTATTGTGCTGGTGTATGTACAAGATAATGTCGGCAGGGGGTTGGGTTATGGAATATCGGCAGGGGGGATGATCATCGCACTTGTTGTGTTGCTCTCCGGGACACCGTTTTATAGATTCCATATGCCTCAAGGCAGCCCTTTAAGTGTCATATGGAGGGTGATATTTTTGGCTTGGAAGAAGAGGGCTTATCCTTATCCTGCTCATCCAAGCCTTTTGAATGAATACCAAGAAGCCAAGATCCCCCACACACAGAGGCTCAAGTAAGTTTATGTAAATCATCTAATGTATCTAAGATCTATGTAGAAAGTCATAAACCATGTAATATCATGCATCAAATCCAACTAAAACCATCACTTACTCATTAAGGTTCTTCACTGCCATTGACAAATGTTTTGTTTCCCTATGCATGTGAATGGTTAGGTGTCTAGACAAAGCTGCAATCCTAGATGAATATGCTTCTGCTGAAGGAAACAGAAGCAACCCATGGATAGTATCCACAGTGAACCAAGTTGAAGAGGTGAAACTGGTTTTCAAGCTAATGCCAGTCTGGTCGACATGTATCCTCTTTTGGACAGTCTACTCTCAAATGACTACCTTCACCATTGAACAAGCCACCTTCATGAACCGAAAAATAGGCTCCTTTGTTATCCCTTCGGGTTCTTTCTCAGCCTTTCTCTTCATCACCATCCTCCTGTTTACTTCCTTAAACGAGAAACTCATTGTCCCCCTTGCTCGAAAACTCACCAACACTGCCCAAGGAATAACAAGCCTTCAGAGGATTGGAATTGGACTCGTTTTATCAATGACTGCTATGATTGCTGCAGCAATAGTAGAGAAACAAAGAAGGGAATTCGCTGTTCACCAAAATACCAAAATAAGTGCTTTCTGGCTTGTCCTACAATACTTTCTAGTGGGTGCTGGAGAAGCTTTTGTCTATGTTGGACAACTTGAATTTTTCATCAGAGAGGCACCGGACAGGATGAAGTCCATGAGCACAGGGCTTTTCTTAAGCACCATCTCAATGGGGTTCTTTGTTAGCACTCTGTTGGTGACTGTGGTGGACAAAGTGACTAAGAAGAGCTGGCTGAGGAGTAACTTGAACAAGGGAAGGGTGGATTACTTCTACTTGCTGCTCGCAGTGCTCGGAGCTTTAAATTTCTTAGTGTTTCTTGCCTTTGCAATGAGACACCAGTACAAAGGCCAGCAGCACAGTAGCCCTAACGATAGTGTCAAAAAGGAGCAAAAGAACTCAAATGGCCTAAGAGTTGAAGAGATGGCAGAGATAATAAGAACTGAGGCAAAGGAAGGACCCTAGAACGTATGCTTCCAAAAGGATCTTGTGTAATGCAGGTTCTAAACAACTAGAAAAGAAAAAGAAAAAAGAAGATAATTTGTATCATGCTTATTTATCCCTATTAGAAATTTAATCCTTTTCTGGTCTGCAGTCTCTCAGTCTAAAACTTAAATACAGTGTGATCTAGAATGCAATGTGATAATAGATTTTTATTTATTAAAAAAAGAAAAAAGAAAAAAGAAAAAAAGCAGCACAACATCCATGACGCATGTCTGAAAATCAGCCATTCATCAAATCAAACCATCCACCGTGCAGCATATGCAAATAGAAGCCCTGCTTAATTGCAATAGTACTTGCTTCAGTATGAATTCACTAGTTCAGAACCACCGCAAATTTGGAGGTACAAAGCCAAACATAGAAATTGATAAAGAACTGGATCCAGCTTTGGCTGCTTATAAGAAATACACTATAGGAAAATTAGTCTCCTCAATCAAAAGGCACATATCTAAGAAGCTGAAAGCTGACCTCTAAACAATTACATAGGCTATTAAGAAGAACCACTTGCAGAAGCAGGTAGGTGATTTATGACCAAAGGGGGACGTAGAGCTCGGTGGTTTTCCAAATTTTGTTTGCGGGCCTTATACATCTCTTCTGTCTCAATCACGACCAATCTCTTAACCTGTGTGAAAACATAACATGCTAACATTATCAATTACAGGCAGGAGAGATGCCTTAATCCATGAATGCAT